TTTCAGTTCTTCTTTTGCAAACCTACATTTATGAACCCAACAGTTTACATTTAGAAAGCATTATAAACTCACCTCATAGTAGCTCTGAACAGCATTGATAAAAGCCTCGTCAGCCACAATCTGAGTGTCTCCATTGAGGAATGCCTGAAATCGCTCTTTGACGGTTTGCAGCTGCAGCTTGCTGATCTGAAGGACACAGAAAATAATGTGAGGCTAAAAGAAAAACAAAGCAACAATATCACCACTGAAATACATAAAACAGAATAACAACCTTCAATGGAATGGAGGATGAAATAAGGTTCCCTATAATCATTTATCTTGTATTTCCTTTTTCCCTCCTGTCTTTTCAGAGATAATAAGGCTCAACGAATCTTAAAACGTCTTTGGCAGAAGTGGCTATCATGTTAAATTAATACAGTTCACTTTCCATAACTAGAATTGCATTCTTCTCTTTGCCAACTACATCTTATCTTCTGTAATTGAACTGAGGGCAAAGAAAAAATATCTACTCAAATACAATCAAAAATAACAAGAACAGAAGAATGGAAATAAGACCAATGAAAACTCAGAGATAAAACTCAAACAGAAAACTATAACACTCAGCTAGGAAAGGTTTGAATTAAATGTTAAGCAACAGCATCTACCTGAAGAAAAATGTTTCTAGTGATCAGAAAGTGAAAGGCTGATACATTACTACATACTAGAAATTATTTCTAACTCACCATGCAACAGCAGAAGGGAGTTTCAAGCAGATAATAAACCAAAACGCACATTTTTAGACCCGTATTTATTTTGTCCCTCAAAGATTTAGATTTCAAGCAGAAAAAAAAGTAGAATCTCACTCAAACTTGCCCCTGAAAATTCAGAGCAAAACTGTTTAAAGAGTTTAAAAACTGCATTTAGAAAAAAAAACACTGTCAGAGGATAATCTGAATGTTGTTTGGGAAAAGTAAAAAAGAAATGCTTGATTGCACAGAGAGGAAAACCCAAACTGGTAGTGGATATCTTC